TTCTTCTTCTTTGTAATTGTTACTATTTGTTTGGGGGAGGTAAGCACCTATGTTCAATTCAGTGTTTTGTACCATGAAAGCCTCAGATTATGTTTTCATCTATGATCCCTAGACCAATATGGCAGTGTAAAATATAGATATGAAGACACTTCAAAAGGTTCGTGGAAAAATAGAATTGAAAGATAATATGAATCTTTCCATGAACTTTTAAAAGACCTCCTCATATCTACATAGATAGATAGATGGACAGATAGATAGATAGATACATAGATACATAGATGGATGGATGGACGGACGGACAGACAGACAGACAGACAGACAGACAGACAGACAGATAGATATCCATCTTCTTCAGACTTGTATGATTTCCCAAAGAGGATAACTTTGGCCTATTACTACTATTTTATATTCACCATGTAGTGTGAGGGAGAAGGATGCATTTCCTTTGCTTAATGCATGACTTTAAGTCATTTTGTCCACTTTATGTTTCTCCTCGGTCTATGGTTGCAATTTTATCAATTTTAGGCTGCTTGTCAAATATAACTAAATTAAAATTATTAGAACTGTGCTTGGTGCAGCTAAACCTAAATGATGGGAAAGTATGTAAGCTAAAATCTTCAAGGATATTCTACTTAGTGCTTGGGGGACATTCCACATCTTGCCCTAAGTTGTTTCTTTGAGTTTCTCGCAGAGTTTGGTGCTTTGGTGATTATCTCATTGTTTCCTTTTGTACGTCACATAGCTTAGTTTTATGACTTCTTTTGATGGCAAATTGCTTGAACTATTTTCAGTTACACCTGCTTTAATGAAGATTGTCACATACGTCACAATGATTGATTAACTATCTGTTTTTCTTCTGTAACTTTCTTGTCTTTACAATAAAAACTGAAGCCAAAACTGACTCGGGGCTGTACCTGGGCTCTCTTCTCTTGAAGGAGTTTGCCCTGGGTGCAGTCCCTTCGGGCTTCTCATTGCTCTGAATAATCTTTTGTGTCTCCGTCACTCTGCGAGAGGTGACAAGAACAATGATTTACTTTTATATTGCTGATAATAAAATACTACATAATTATATGGGTGAGGGCGTGGAGAAATGGATAGCCTCTACATTGCACGAGGGAGTGGAAATTAGTACAACCTTTTTACAGCTATTTAAACCTTTACCCTAAAATGTTATTCACCTTTTTAATAGCTATTTTTGGAAATAGCTATTAAAATTAAGACTGCAAAACTTTTGACAGAGTAGTACCTTTCATACAAATGTGCAAAGATATACACACATATAAATGATGTTTAACTTTTCTAGTAATCAAAATATGTGCATTCAATGGCACCCAAAGTCATGGAAGCTTAACCCCCACTGTAACTACTGACAGTAGGAAATCCTATTACGGTAATTGAAAGGAGGGACCTTGAAGAGGTGATTAGATTGTGAGGAATCTGCCATAGCAAATTGTTTAACGGTGGTCATGTGCGTGGTTCTGAGGGCTTTAAAAGAAGAGCACGTGAAGAGCTATCTCGCTCTCTGCTCTGCCATTCCCAACATGTAAGACCCCTGCATCACTGTCACCACCAACAAGGCCTTCACCAGATGTATTCCCTGGACTTTGGACTTCTTAGCCCCTGCACTGTAAGCAATAAATTTCATTTTCTTACAAATTACCCAGTTCCAGGTATTTTGTTATAAGTAACAGAAACGAACTAATACAATATGCAAATTAAAACAACATTGAGATACATTTGTCACCTATCGGACTGACAAAGATTTGAAAGAACGTGAATGTCTATCATTAGGAAAGTTGAAAGTGTATCATGGATACATCAGTAGAAGGTATGGGGAAGGCAGTTTGACAATATGTATCAAAATCTTTAGATGAAAACCTTTTGTCCCAAGAATTCCATCTCCATATCCCAGAGAAATATCAGAAAGGTGTACAAAGATGTATATGCAAGGATATTAATCTCAGCATTGTTTATGATTGTGAAAAATTCAAAACCATCCAAATATCTATCAACAGGAGATTAGTTAATTATTGGCCATCCATAAGGAATAATACACAGCCAATAAGGTATCAGCATGAAAAGATATGCAAGATATATCATTATGTTTAAAATAAATGGCTGGGGCAATATGTTTGTATAATTTTGCTTTTGTTTTATGATTTGTGAGTATATATAAACTATATATAGATATGTATATATATATATATGTCTGTGCTTGTTAACATATGCAAATAATTAATAAAAACATATACCAATCTGTTACTAGTGTTTCTTTCTGGGGGGTTGTAAGCCTAGCTAGGAGCTTTACTTTTCTTGTAATACATATTTGTAATATTTTAATGTTTTACGAGTAATCAGAAAAACAATATTATTTAATTGAAAAATTAAGAAATTTAGAAAAGTTGCTCGACTGCATTCATAATTATATGACTGCAAATTACAAGAGTAATGAGATGTGACTATTGCCTATCATATCGGCAAAAAAAATTAAGATTGCTAACACTCAATATTGTGTAGAGCCCTGGTCTCTAAATGTTTTTCATCAATTCTGCGTATTAGTAAACTTTTTGACTTTGAACGGTAAATGCACATATCTATGTCATTGTTCTTATAAATAAAAATAGGGTCATATTATTCATACTCTTCTTCCACTTGTAAATTCATATGTACAGTGGTGTTCACTGTAACAATTTTTGGCATAGGAGAAACTGGAAACATTCAGAATGTCCATCA